TCCAATGCATATAAGATTATATATATATATATCACAGCCCCTCGTTTGTTGTCCTCTTCTCTCTCTCTGCCTACGGTTTACCGGGTATATATATATGCACATCTCTTGTGACAATATATATGCACATCTATCGAGGTTGGACCTTTGTAACTCTCTCTCTCTCTCTCTCTCTCTCTCTCTCTCTCGCGCGCGCGCGCGCGCGCCAACACGTTCAGTGAATGGTAATTAATTATCAGTCGAGTGTTTAGACCCTGCACTCTCGTATAAGAGAATGCTCGCTGGAATGATGATGATGATTAGTCGATCGTGTTTCCCCCTACCCCCCCCCATCTGCCACCGGTTAGTACCCACCCGCCAATTTTGTTTCATGAATAAAGGATTCCTTTTCTCAACCCCCCCCCCCCAAAAAAAAAAAGAAAAAAGGGGGGGGGGGGGGGGGGGGGAGACGGGAGACGATTGAAGCACTTACGACGTGGATTTCAAATTCGAACAAACTTCAGGGCTGAAGAGATGGCTCTGCAAACGCCTACCCCCCTGCACCCCCCGGGGAATGCTTACCACACGAAACATCATCCTTTCCCTGCACAGTAAATCCTCTGATCCCAGCGTAATCAATGCTGGCAGGAATTCTCTTTAATCCGCCCATCCCCTATCAGAGCGACCTCCTCTCTTATTTCAATTCTGTACAAGGGACGTTGGACCCGTTTTCCAGCAGGTGATGCTCCCCACCAATAGATGGAGCCTCCCCTGGGTGATATAAAAAAAAAAAAAAAAAAAAAAAAAGGAAATACCGGTGACCCGAATAGATCGCAGACAAGAGGGAATGCGAATCCTACTTCATAGGTCCGGAGAGCAGGGAAATCTATTAAAAAATTAAAATAAAATAATAGGGAAAAAAAAGAAAAAAAGCAGACACAAGAAGAGGCTTTCTATTTGTTTCGCTCTTTTTTTCTTCCGAATGGGGCGAAGGCGCATTACTCAGGCTGAAGAGGAACGAGCGAGCAAAAAAGGCGCGGATAAAAAGGGGGGGGGGAAGGCAACGGGTGGTGGGTACTTAAAGAGGGAGGAAAAGCATGGAGTGAGGTGATTGGGGGGGTAAACGTGTATTGGTTTTGAGGGGTACTGAAGTGCGACGAGGAGGAGGGAGAGAGAGAGGAGCCATGATTTTGCAGCAGCGGAGGCGACGTTTCGATCATCACCCTGAATGTTTTTATTTATTTATTTTAATTATCGTAAATAAATGTTGAAAAAGTTTGATCCGCAAGATCCATGGTCGTAAAAACGGTCAGATGAATGTCAGCTGTACTACTGTCTTTTGATTTCCAACTTTATTTTATGTTTAATATATATGTTTTCTGTCAACCAAGGAGGGTGAATAATCCGTAATTACTCCTTCCCAGAAAAACAAAAAACAAAAACTGTGAGATCGCTTCGTACTTCTATTTCGTCCGTCCAATGTGCATTAAATTTTCTCGATTTATACTTGTTATCCTTTTTTTTTCCCCTTATTCTTTTGTTTCCCCCTTATCCTTTTTTTTCCCCTTATCCTTTTTTTCCCCCCTTATCCTTTTAATTTTGCAGGGGCAATGCTGATTTTCTCTGCATCCTATCAGGCGGGAAAAACATCGAAGCATCAACAACGCGGGCGAAATTCAAATTGGCGTGGAACACTACAGGTACAGGTTATATATATATGTTTGTTGTCCTCTTCTCTCTCTCTGCCTACGGTTTACCGGGCAGTTCTGTTTGTGACGATATATATATATATCTACTTTGATTTTGGTTAAGGTAGATTATCATTTACAGTGTAATCAGTGAGGGGATTCTGCAGACTGTTGAGGGTTCAGCCTCTTGATGAGTCGGTGAAACTCCGACGAAACAGTTCGTCACAGCCCCTCGTTTGTTGTCCTCTTCTCTCTCTCTGCCTACGGTTTACTGGGCAGTTCTGTTTGTGACGATATATATATATATATATATATATGTCCTCTTCTCTCTCTCTGCCTACGGTTTAC